CATGGACTCACTCCATGTGCTCGGCCATTGTGCACCGACGTACAGGGTCTCTCCTGCAAACTTGGCTTTTGCCAAGCCTCGTCCACCGCTTGCCTTGCAGACCCTCGTCGATCGCACTGCATTCCAGGCCAGTCCTTCCCAAATGGCTCGCGGCATCTCACCTCCACGGTACGCTTGAGCTGAGAGACGTCAGTCTGTAGAAGATCACACAGCTCGTTCACGAGCTCTCCATCTTTTTCTACAGTGTCGACATAGTCGTCCTTCCAAAGCAAGGTGCTCTTTCCTGCTTTCGAACACCCTGCTTCTCTTTGGATGTCCTGGCCCCTTCTCAATGGCTACTTGACCAAATAGACCAGGAACGATCCACCTGCTGTATCCGCTCACTCGCGCTCAGCAAACGAAGTAGTCGCTTTAGTCGCAAGTGGTTCGGCCCCCATGTAAGGCCGAATAGTAGAGTTTCGGCCCTTTGTATGCGACTAGCAACTACCTGCTTGCTATGCGGTGGAAACGGATAACAGAAAGAATTTTATTTACAGAAATTACAGTAGTACGTAGGAATAGTTTGAGCGATGATGGCGTGCAGGAATCGAAGAAGGCGGCGGTGTCCAGTGCGGGCGGCGACGTCCACTGCAGGCGGCGACGAAGTCCGATGACCAGGATTCCGTCACAGAAAGCTCTGCTTGAGCCTTACGGCTAGCTCTTATATACCCGGCGGTCCCTCCCCTATCTTGCCTGAGGGGCGCGCCAACTACAGATCTCACGTGGGGGGCGCGATCTACCTGTGCGACCACCCTATGCACCTCCCTCATGGCTTCCTACTCAACATACTGCTTTTATTGAGGTTCGCTTAATCCAACGTGAGATACAACAGCGACTCATGAGGAATGATTCAACGGTAAGCCAGACATATACAAGATTGCGAAATCGACGCTTACGCTACATTGCGAAATCAACATAAGCTACGAACGAGTCCTAATGTGATAGGAGTGTTCGTTTACGTACTCCGTAGCCACTAAAGACCGCTCGATATACTAGAATGAGCTCACTGATAGAACCAAATAGAATGATTAGATTTATAGATTTCTGCATTACTATTAGAAACTCGAATGACTGATGGGACTCTTCCACCATGAAAATGAGACCTCTTAATCCGTTCCTTACAACTAAATAAGTTGGAAAAACATTGTTCAGAGACTTATTCTGAACTAGTTGCGACACGACTGATCAAACACGAAACGAAAGCCGGAAATGGGGAGTACCTCTCCCAAAAGGCGGGGTCAGCATGACCGCTACGCGACACGCTTCGCGTAGCTCCCGCCCACATGCTGACCCGCCGCCAACGTCCCGTCGTACGGGACTCGCCTTGGCGGCGATGGTTGCGTGAACTACAAAACTCCATTTTCAAGTCGCGTTAGCGAACATAGAGTACCCCAGCTGTGCTCCATGGGCTAATAAAAAGACGTAAGGTAAATGGCACAATCGCACTTGAGCATCCGATCCGCGGTCCCGGCCACGATTACCCTGAAGAGAAGCGCGCGCTCATACGATCGCACAACCACGAAGTATGAAAGCGCTCGTATTTTGCACCGAAAGGAAGCGCTCGTGTTTTTGCTTAATAGGAAATGAGGCGACGCACTATTTTGCACAAGTCGGGAATCAAGCGCGCACCTGACGAGTTTTATAGGCAAAGATGTTTCAATTCGAAATGGTTAAGATGGCTCGCACAATGCTGGCTGTTATAATGTACACTTAATTAACGAAATCACCCATTCAAGAGCGGAGTGAACCCTTTTGATTTACACTGTGTGTAATAACTTTTCAGGTGTCAAATGAGTTGTTGGGGTGGAATTCAAAGCTGGCCAAAATGCTTCACCAGAACGGCTCCACTGAGTCAACCGGGAATTATCTGAACCAACCCGTTGAAAGTTCAAGGTAAATCAGTGCGTACACCTCTTGCAACCATTTCCCAGATGAAGTACAGTCGTCATCCTTGCACTTGATAGTCAATGTCAGTGCGGCTGCGTGCGGCGCGGTCGCCCGCACCCGTACTGCACCAATCGTTGAACCAGGAAGTGACATTACTGTATTATATCCTTCGTGTTACTCGTTTTCTATCACTTTTTGTCGCATACGCGTTTCAACGAAAAGGCTGAGAAGGCTTCAAACAGTGTGCACGCTCCTTCTCGCCGACACGCCCCTATCAAGTGCAAGGATGACGACTGTACTTTGCCAGAGCGTTGGGTATAAAGGTGCCCTATGCTTCGCGTTACTAGAGGCGCACTGTATATATCTTTCACAAAATATATATCTTCCATTATAAGTACATATCTTTCATTCTAATGTGGCATTTTGTGAAAGATACCCGCAAAATGACTGTGCCAAATTGCTTGAATTGGACATTGATGAAGTTTACAGAGGCTGCTTTCAACTGGTCCCTGCAGATCTTGAAAAAGCTGTTAAGCGCAGAATGCTTCGAGTTGACGAAGCAGGTAGACCTGTAGGAGTGTCCCCACGTTGATGGGCGAGGTGCCTAAACATGATGAGAAGGCGTTTGTTCCTCCTTACAGGACTTTACCTATAGTTCAACGGAAATTTAGTGGGAAACGCCACATCATCAACATTATTATACAAGATTCGATGCTTTTGTGAGTATAGTGTGGTGATATTCCCATGCTGAGTTCATAGTAGGCAACCTAAGATGTTACTCCTGGTGATGATAGTTGACCACGATGCCCTAGTGCCAAAACCGCGCCGCGACCGCCGCTCACAAAGCCGGATGCTGAAGTGCGATTGTGCCGTTTACCGTCGCCCCTAAGAAAAACAGGCGTGAGAGCACGGTAACCGCCAGTAGTGTGCAATTACACGACAGTCACCGATGCATTTGCGTAACATCGTGTGCGCCTTCCATTCGTTTTTCTAGATTTCGAGAGTACGGGCGCCATTTGCACAGCTCAACTTCGTAGTGCGGCTTTAAACACGTATGTAAATATTGCATTATTTTTATTTTTTGTGAAGCCAACGACTCGAGAGGCGACTCAAAAAAATACCACGTGTTGGTTTATGTATGTGCAATGTTGCTCACTTTAGTTGTTGCTACCGTAGAAAATTTATGTCATATACTTGCCACGAGGGGTTGCCATGTTGTGTCGGGGACGTTGAAGCTTTTTGAAATTTGCTCTGTAAGGGTTGTGGACCTCTAAGAGATGGATTTTTATCAGTAGATAGGCGCATTTATTTATTTTAGGCTTTGTTGTGTAATATGGAAGATCTTTGCTTTCTTACTGCATTCCTGTTGCTGTGATTTACCGACAGCTCCTTGTCCATACAATGTAAAATATACTTAACCGATTGTTAGCTGCAGCGATGTGTTTTTTTTTGAAACACCCTTCCCAGTCATCTGTTTCTCATTGCAGGAAAAAAACTGACCATAAATGTTTTTTGCTCGCCTTCATTCAAGTTGAAAACGTTAATTTCGATAAGCTTCCCGCGTGACTGCAAGAAGTAAAGGTTTGTTTGCCCCAGCTGTTTCGAAGAGGCACATTCAGTTCTAGCATAGTCCTCGAGCGAGGAATTGAATGTGTTGAGGGCCTGGATTGATATACATTGTTTTCTTAAAGTATGCTTGAGGTTTTAATTTGGTATGTTTGATCAAAGAGCTTTCACTATTAATTCTTTCTACTACACTCACTATACTTGCTATTACACCAGATGAATTCAGATCAGCAGACTTCTCGAAATGGATGAACTAGAGCGTTTATCGCTGGTTTCGAAAGTCTGCTCAGAATTGGACAATCATTTTGGTATCAAGGATAAAGATGTGGCAGAGTTTATTATTGAACTCGCAACTATGAACAATACCTTTGAGAAATTCAAAAGAGCACTTGACGAGCAGGGATTGGGCGAGCAGGTGGGTGGTGTGCAAAGCGTCCCTTGAACTTTAAAGTAGGATCAGGCTGCCTTTGCCTAGCTCATTGTATATTCCTATGAAATTAAGGTCGATTGGTGACAAGTTCACCACATTTTAGGTACATGTGAGGTGTCTATCATATAGAAAGAGAATTGGAAGAAGGGGAATGGCTCTTTTTCTGCTATCATTTGGCTCTGAGATTTTAAAGCATTCAAACTTCGAGACTCGGGATTATAGGAGAATGCGCCCCAAGAGAGTATAAGTAGCGAACTGCCTTAAACCGTAGAGCGGAACAGACCTTTGGGAGGACTCGCGCCGAAGGAGTGGACAGGTAAGGATTAACGTGTCCACCTTTCTGGGAGAGTAACCCTGTGTCTCCACCTGTCTCCACCTGGCGCACATTCTACCTGATTCCATTACTTTCCTGTTAACCATCCAGATCGATATCTATAATTGCCTTTGGCGCGCAGCCTCCCATAATCCTCCTCTTTCAAGTCAAGATAAGAGGACGGCCCAAACATATCCGTTTTATCGATAAATGAATTTGATACCGCTTTGAACGAGCGACAGAGTAGACGTCTCAGCCATGGAGTTTGTGAGGTCCATACCTGAGTTGTCTGCTCTTTTGCTCGTTATCTGTATAATCGAGGGACTTCTATCACTACTACTCACAATCGCGGTTGCATTTTTCTCCATTTCTCTTTTGTCTGAACCAACTAACTAAGCCCAAGACGTTTTATCTTTTTCTTCACCACTTTTGCCCACAATGACTAACCAGAAAGTATCGAAATTGATGTGAACTCTCTTCTTTCCATTCAGTTTGATGACTCGCTGACAGCTAACCTGCTTCGTCTAATCCAGCATATGTTACCGAAAAAGAAGAACCAACGGAAAGGATCAGGTTCATCTCACAAGATCACACTGATATCGGACGCGAAGGAAGAAATAAAGGTTTTCCTAAGAAATAAGTTGATTATGGTATTCAAAGTGTATGTGGTGTTTAGGCGAGACTTCCCGCACTTGCTATGCCAAATAGTAACACCGACGATATGATGAGTCAGTTGGAGAATCTTGTTCCAAAATGGAAAGAAGCGGTAAATGTTTCTTTGGAACAAGTCATTAGCTTAATTTTCATTGGGCTCTGACGAAAGTGATTATGATTATGATTTATTATCGGTTAGTAAAGCAGAACAAAACACAACATAGTTATTGAAATGTGGTTCAGAAAAAAGAAGAGCTAACAGAAGAAGAAACTCTGAGATTTTCCCCCCAGAGTAAGAAGAATCGAGATGAGAGCAGATCCAAAAAAAGAAGTGGTCGCAGTCGAAGCAGGAGTAGACAATATCGAAGCAGAGGCAGAAAAGAAAGAAACTATAGCCGATCAAGGTATTCACGTGTTTTCTCGGTCACTGCTAAGTACAACTAAGGCCGCGTTCATAGCTTGCGTTCGTGAAGAAATGCAGAAGTGCGGAAAGTGCAGAAATGACGAAAAGCATTACATACGTATCGATTTGAAGAAATGCAGAAATGCCGAAAGTGAAGAAGTGCGGAATCTGCAGAAATGCCGAAAGTGCGTATCGACTTGAAGAAAGAAATGCCGAAACTGCAAAGTGCAGAAATGACGAAAAGCATTACATACGTATCGATTTGAAGAAATGCAGAAATGCCGAAAGTGAAGAAGTGCGGAATCTGCAGAAATGCCGAAAGTGAAGAAGTGCGGAATGTGCAGAAATGCCGACAGTGCGGAATGTGCAGAAAAGCAACCGATACG